TCACATAAGTGTTTCTATGCAGGGTTGCCTGAGCTACCGAAAGCCAAGTGATGTTGAAAGACACATCTTTGTGGGCGACGGACAATCGGTAGATGTGGAAGCAATTGGGCACTTTAGGTTGTTGTTAGGAACTGGTTCTTATTTGGATTTGAAAGATACTTTTGTAGTACCGTTTTTTAGACAGAATTTAATTTCTGTTTCTGTATTGGACAAATCAGGTTATTCTTGTTCATTTGGAAACAGTCAATTTAGTTTATCTTTTAATTCAAATGTTGTGGGAATCGGTTACTTGAGTACTTATGACAATCTATACTTGCTCGATACAATTGCTTCCTATAATGAATCCTTGCATGTGGAATCACGTGGTACTAAGCGTAAATTAAATAAGAAAAATTCGACGACATTATGGCATAAGCGCTTAGGTCATATCTCAAAAGGTAGAGTTGAGCGTCTTGTGTCTGATGGCATTTTGGATTCCCTTGATTTTTCAGACTTCGACGTATGTGTTGAATGTATCAAGGGAAAACAGACCAAAGTTAAGAGATTAGGTGCCAACAGATCTTCGGATGTCTTACAATTGATACATACGGATATTTGTGGGTCATTCCCTACGGAATTCTGGAATGGTCAATAATATTTTATATCATTCATAGACGATTACTCACGTTATGGGCACCTATATCTTATTCATGAAAAATCTGAGTCTCTGGACATGTTCAAAGTCTATAAAGCTGAAGTTGAGAATCAACTCAACAGAAGAATTAAAACTGTTAGATCTGATCGTGGTGGTGAATACTACGGTAGATATGATGGTTCATGTGAACAACGTCCAGGACCATATGCTAGATACCTAGAGGAATGTGGTATCTTCCCACAGTACACCATGCCGGGTTCACCTAGAATGAATGATGTAGCTGAAAGACGAAATAGAATTCTTAAGGATATGGTAAGAAGTATGATTGCTCATTCTTCTTTACCAGAGTCTCTCTGGGGAGAAGCACTTAAGACAGCGGCTTACATTCTGAATAGAGTACCAAGTAAAGTAGTTGCTAAAACACCTTATGAGCTTTGGACTGGTCAAAAGCCCAGTTTAAAGCATTTACATATTTGGGGATGTCCCGCTGAGGCAAGGCCTTATAGGCCGAATGAAAAGAAATTGGACTCCAAAACAGTTAGCAGCTACTTTATTGGGTACTCTGAACGCTCTAGGGGCTATAAGTTTTATGATCCCACTATAAGGAATATTTTTGAGACGGGAACAATAACATTCTTTGAGGATGTTGAGTTTGGGGGGAGAAATAAGGTTAGAGACATTAGTTTTGAGGAGGAATTGACTTCAGATCCAATCCATACAGTTACTTTTGACAATATTCAGGTTCCTATACCCGTTGTTGCTCAAGAAGTAAATCTGGAACCTCAAGATGACAATGTTGAGCAACTCCCTGTTCCAGAAGAACAAACTTAACAACCTTAAGAACCAGTGCCATTAAGGAGATCCACGAGAGAAAGGAGAAATGCTATTCCGGATGATTACATTGTATTTCTCCAAGAACATGAGGAAAGTAATGGAATGTTGGAAGATGATCCAATCAACTTCCTTCAGGCCATGAAAAGTTCTAACTCTTAATAGTGGATTGATGCCATGAATGAAGAGTACAAGTCTATGCAAGACAATAAGGTTTGGGAACTTGTCCCATTACTAGAAGGTACAAAACCAATTGGTTGTAAATGGATTTTTAAAACCAAGCGGGATGCAAACGGTAATGTAGAGAGGTATAAGGCACGTCTTGTGGCTAAAGGCTATACTCAAAAGGAAGGTATTGATTATACAGAGACTTTATCTCCGGTTTCATCGAAAGACTCTTTCAGAACAATCATGGCACTTGTTGCTCATTATGATCTTGAGTTACATCACATGGATGTTAAGACTGCATTTCTCAATGGTGACATTAATGAGATGATCTATATGGTGCAACCAAAAAACTTTGTGTCAGGAGACCCAAAGAATATAGTTTGTAAATTAAGGAAATCCATCTATGGACTCAAGTAAGCTCCTCGTCAATAGTATCATAAGTTTCAACAAATAATTATCTCGTTCGGTTTTGAGATGAACATTGTTGATGATTGTGTATATCACAAGTTCAGTGAGAGTAAGTATATTTTTCTGGTTCTGTATGTCGATGACATATTGCTTGCCACTAATGATATAGGCATGTTGCACGAAATCAAGAGATTTCTATCAAAGAATTTTGAGATGAAAGATCTTAGGGACGCCTCTTTTATATTAGGGATCCAGATACATCGAGATTGCTCTCGGGGTATTCATGGATTATCACAAAAGAGCTATATCAATAAGGTACTTAAAAGATTTGGCATGTAAGATTGCAGACCAGGTGACACCCCTGTTGCTAAAGGAGACAAGTTTAGTCTCAATCAGTGCCCTAAAGGTAACCTTAAAATTCAGAAAATGCAGAAGATTCCTTATGCTTCGGCTGTAGGAAGTCTAATGTATGCTCAGGTATGTACACGTCCGGATATTGCGTACATTGTTGGGATGTTAGGCAGATACTTAAGCAACCCTGGTATGAATCATTAGATAGCAGTCAAAAGGGTTATGAGGTATCTTCAGAAAACAAAAGATTACATGCTCACATACAGAAAATCAGAACAGTTAGAGGTCATTGGGTATTCGGACTCTGATTTTGCTGGATGCCAAGATAGCAGAATGTCTACATCAGGCTACATTTATATGTTAGCAGGAGGAGCTATATCATGGAAAAGTGTCAAACAGACACTAGTAACTTCCTCCACTATGGCAGTAGAATTTGTAGCTTGCTATGAGGCATCCAATCAAGGAATTAGGCTGCGAAATTTTATCACGGGATTGCGCATTTTGGAAAATGTTGAAAGACCACTAAAGTTATATTGTGACAATAAATCTGCAGTAATGTATTCCAATAACAACAGGAGCTCAACTAAGTCAAAACATATTGACATTAAGTTCCTGGTTGTGAAAGAAAGGGTACAGAGTGGACAGATATCCATAGAGCACATTGGGACAAACTCCATGATAGCTGATCCTCTTACTAAGGGACTGCCACCTAAGGTCTTTCATGACTAAAGTAGGACCAGTTGAAAATAGATATGTACTGATCACATTGCATGTAATTTTCATGCTGCACATCAATGATTGTTCTATGTCATTTGATTGTATTGGTATATGTGACCATTGATGGGTCGAGTCACGATAAATGTGACGAAGGCCGCTTTGATCCTATATTGATATAGTCAATGGACGAGATTGTTCGGAAATACCATTTCAGTGATAGCAATTTTTGAGCTCATAAGGTTATACACAGTTTAAGGAATCATATGGTGCCCAAGTGGGAGATTGTTGGATTTAATCTAATAAATCTATTTGTGGGCACATATGATTAATCAATGTGTATTGCTATCTTTCAGGATAACTCACTAAAGTGATCAATTAATTTGGGTTAATTGGGTATTTAAATAAGTCATGGGGTTATATGTGCAGATACCATGTTGTAATTGTGATTTGTTGAGGGGCCAAATTGCATATGTACAACATCTATAAATAAGAGGTTATGCTCCCTAATCTAGGGTTACATTCTCTAATTCTCTTCACCCCCATCTAGAGAGAAATTCGGCTAGAGAAAACGCTAAGGTTAGAAGATCAAAACCCATCTCAAATTTAAGCAATGGATTCAGGTATATGCTTCCGCTCCTTTATGATTCTTGTTAATCTCTTCGAATTAATCATGGCTTTATGGTTTTAGATCTCAAGTTTTGATTTAGATCTAACATAATATGGTAACAGAAGAGGACTTTTTTTGAAAATATGTCGACCAATTACAGATTCATACTTTCTTGATTCTTTTCATTGGAAGATATGGGGACTACAAAATATGTCGACCAATTACAGATTCATACCAATTACAGATTCATGCTTAAAGTATGTTATTAATATAATTATAATTATCTCATGAAAATATTTACTACCTGATCATGTTATGAAGGTAAGAAATTAAACATTTGTTTCTAGTAATTATCTCATGAAAATATTTACTACCTGATCATGTTATGAAGGTAAGAAATTAAACATTTGTTTCTAGACTTGTCCTTTTCATCTAGATCTCTCGTAATTAAGAAGTACTTTCCTAGATGTCAGAAGTTTTCTACAAAAGTGATATACGGAAGTGGCGTTTAGTCATCCTTTCTTTCCTTCTTTATTAGTTATTACTACTTTGTACATGTTTTTCAAAACGTGCACTAGTACAAAGTGGCCCAGCCCCAACGGTTGTAACCGTTGGGGCTAATCATGACCCCAACGGTTACAACCGTTGGGGCTAAAAAAAACACCGTTCGGGCAAGTCGCGTTGGGGCTAAGTCAGCCCCAACGGTTGCCGAACTTGCACCAACGGTTCTAACCGTTGGGGCTAATATTTGCCCCAACGGTTCCAACCGTTGGGGCCTTTATATAAATAAAAAAAAAGAAAAATCAGCCAAATGCACTTGGGGCCTTTGTATAAATAAAAAAAATAGAAAATCAGCCGAAAATAGTTTACAGAAGGAATGCAACATGCGACCAGCTTTAAAAACTAAAAACTGCAGAACCCCACAATAGGCAAGTCAAACAAGTCTGATAAAGGATGATAAAGGCTATTAGAAAGATGACACTAGAAATACCTGTAACTGTTCTCCAAGCACACAAATTACATCCTTTTTTGAGAAAAATGATGGATTACCAACATAGTAATCCAGCCAGCTAAATTAAACAAATTTGGTTGTTACAAAAAAGTATTCATCCCTAACCAAGAATGAATACCCTGGATTATCAGAGTTTTACAGTCAACTTCACCTAAACTCTTCACCCCCTAGCAATTGATAACAAAATATCAAAAACTGTATCAAAAGACCAACCCATATACATTTTTTCATATTTAGACCACAAAAGCAGACTTCTTTCTTGAGCTTAGTCTTCATTCCAGCAGATCAATCACCCTCCCAGCTGTGCAAACTAAAGAAATTTCAGCAACTGAAGCAGCTTCTTTCCTCCTCCTCTCTTGTAGTCTAGCTGCACGATCAGATATCTGAGAACCTATCCAAAATTTTGCATAAGTCAAAATTTTGTTCAAAAGTTCTAATGATCTCCTTTTCTTATTTGAAAAAATTCTATCATTTCTTTCCTGCCAAATACACCATATAAGAGAACAAAGAATCACATCTCTCTCTATGTTCCCACTATCATACTTCTCATCACTCCATTTCTTCCAAATATCTTTTAAAGAAGATAAATTGAAATATTTCTTGATATTCAATTTAAACTGGACAGATCTCCAAATTGAGTATACAAACTCACATTTAACAAAAAGATGAAGATGATTTTCCTCCAACTTGGAACAAAAACAACACAGCACATCCATATGAACACCTTTCTTTACTAAATTCTTTTTCGTGTTTAAACCACTTCTTAAAGCCAACCAAACCAGAAATTTCACTTTTAGAGGAACAGAAAGCTTCCAAAGATTTAAGCAGTCATACCTTAAGCCTCCATCAATAAGAAAATGATAATATGATTTAACAGTAAACTTGTCTTTTGCTTCCCAAATCCACTTTCTCTTATCCTCCCTGTGAACAAAATTAATAAGCATAATATTGTTCAACATATCATAATATTGAAAACTTTCTCTTATCCTCCCTGTGAACAAAATTAATAAGCATAATATTGTTCAACATATCATAATATTGAAAAACCAGATTTCCTGTCAACTGTTTTTGAAATTTAATATCCCAAATCCATTCATTATTTAATTTTTTTCCTCAAACTGGTAATAGTAGCATAAGGGAATGATGCAATGTTATAAAGAGAAGGAAACATAGAAGCTAGAGTATTTGCACCTGTCCATTTATCAAGCCAATAAAGAGTTTTATTTCCATTCCCCACATCTACACTAGTACTGCATAAAAAGCTATCAACATTAATAAAAATATTCCTCCAGAAATGAGATAGGGATCTTTTGTCAGAACAAAAATAATCTGACCAGTTTTTATTCTCAAAATACTTGTAGAAACTTATTTGTTTCCATAGATCCATCTTATCATCAAACCATTTCCAAATCCATTTTCCCAACAAAGATTTATTCATAGTTCTCAAATTTATAATACCCAAGCCACCTAGCTTTTTGGGTCTGCAAATCTCTTCCCATTTAACCAAGTTAGAAGAATTCTTGTGTTCCAAAGAGCCAGTCCATAAAAATCTTCTTCTCATCATATCAATTTTATCAATAAGCCACCGTGGGAATAAGAAAAAAGACATCCAAAAAATTGGCATAGAGGAAAGAACTGCATTAACAAGCACTAATCTTTAAGAAAAAAGACATCCAAAAAATTGGCATAGAGGAAAGAACTGCATTAACAAGCACTAATCTTCCTCCCCTTGATAAAGACTAGAGGAAAGAACTGCATTAACAAGCACTAATCTTCCTCCCCTTGATAAAGATTTTCCTTTCCATAAGGTTAATCTTCTTTCAAACTTATCAATAATAGGAGACCAATCCTCTTTTTTTAATTTTCCAGGCCTCAAAGGAACTCCAAGATAAGTGATAGGAAAGCTTCCACTATTACAATTTAACATGCCAGCCAGATTATGCTGCAAGATCTCATTATCTTCAAGAGCAATAAGCAAACTCTTGTTGAAGTTTATTTTTAATCCAAATGTTAATTCAAAACAGTATAAGATTAGTTTCAGGACTGTCAGCTGCTCTCTTTTGTTTTTATAGAAAACTAAAGTATCATTAGCATATTGAAGGCAGCAAACCTTCTGGGACATATTAATAGGACCCAATCCTTCTATAAGAGATGCTTTAGCTGCTAAATTCAACATACTGGTAAAAGCATCAGCTGCCAAAACAAACAAAAGAGGAGATAGAGGATCACCTTGTCGAACTCCTCTTTTAGACATAATCCAACTACCAATTTTTCCATTTGTGTTAATGGCAGACATACCTCCTTTTAGGCATACATTCACCCAATTTAACCATTTACTTCCAAATTTTTTTGCCTTCAAAACATCCAAAAGAAAGTTCCAATCTAGCATATCATAAGCTTTCACAAAATCTAACTTTAAAAGTATTCCTCCTTTTCTATTATTTTGAAAACAATCATTAATAATTTCCTGAGCAGCAGCTACCCCATCAATCAGAAATCTGTTTTTTATAAAACCTGACTGAACAGGATCAATAGGAAGTTCCAGCTTGGGATTCAATCTGTTAGTCAACACTTTTGTAATTATTTTGTAGACCACATTAAGTAAACTGATAGGTCTGTAATCATTAACTGTTGTAGCTTTATTCTTTTTTGGAATAAGAACAATATGAGTATAGTTGAGTCTATTTATTTTCAATTTTCCTTCATAAAGTTCTTCAAACAATCTCATAATATCAACTTTCACAGTCTCCCAAAATTCCTGAAAGAAGATAGCCGAAAAACCATTAGGACTAGGAGATTTATCATCTTTCATATCAAATATAGCTTTATGCACCTCATCCTCAGAAAAAGGATTTTCAATATCTCTAGAGTCCCAATCCACTAAAGGAAAGATTTTATTCCAATCAAGTTGACATCTATAAGTCTCCTTTTGACCAAAAATTTGTCTATAATGAGTATAAAAAGCTTGAGCTATACCATCTTCAGAGCTAACCTCCATCTCATTAATGAAAATAGAGGCAATCAAGTTGTTTCTTTTTCTACCATTAGCAATCTTATGGAAATATGCAGTGTTATTGTCACCTTATTTTAGCCAATGTGCTTTAGATCTTTGTTTCCACATTTGTTCTTCCTGAAATAAATTTTCATTCAACTGAGAAGAAACATCATTTTTCTTGATCAATTCATCATCTTCTAAATCTTTATTTTCCTCAATAAATTCTCATTCAAGCAAATTATCCAATAATTCTTTTTGCTTCTGTCTGATACTATAAAAATTAGAATGTGTCCATTGATTAATGCACTTTCTCATAAATCTCAATTTCCCAACAATATTTTTGGCTGCAGATACACTCTTAGGAGCACAATTCCACCACAGAGGTATTCCTCTTTTAAAATCTTCAGATTGAAGCCAAATTTTCTCAAATCTGAACTTTTTGACAAACTGTTGATTATCACCACAATCAAAGCTAATGGGAGCATGATCTGATAATTGACTACTAAGCCCTTGTTGCTTTGAAAATGGAAACAAGTCTTCCCACTCAGAGTTAAAAAAAACTCTATCCAGCCTAGCTAGAGTAGGTGAACTTCTTTTATTTGACCAAGTAAATTTTCTCCCATGTAAAGGACTGTCAATTAACTCAAGATCATTAATCACTTCACAGAATTCTTCCATATCCTTTCTATGATTATGTTTACCTCTTCTTTCATCATCATTAAAAGTCACATTAAAATCATCCACAACAACCCAAGGACCTGGAAATCTGTTTTTAACAGCTTTAAGTTCCTGCCAAAATAACCTTCTCTCACTATTGCAATGGGGACCATAAACAGATAAAATAGTCTAAACAATACCATTTCTCTTATTTTGTAACATAACAGTCAAAACATATTCTCCAATTAACTCTTGAATTTTTTTTCCATTTACTATTGTTCCAACCAATCATAATACCTCCTGAGGTTCCATTAGTGGGCAAAAAATCCCAATCAAATATATTTCCTCCCAAACTTTTTAAAATCCTGTCATCAACACTGCTCAGTTTTGTCTCTTGTAAACAAATAATCTCAAATTTGTTTAGCATACAAAAATCTTTAATGCCAAATCTTTTAACACTTAAACCAAGACCTCTCACATTCCATGTAATTAACATATTATTAGCAAAAAAACTCCTCAAAATCAACAAGAAAGAGCAAAGACTACTCAGAAGTAGCCCTCTCCCTCTCCATCTGCCTCACTTTTTTAAGGGGTCAAAATCCCCCTGAGGCTCAAGGATAATAGCACATTTTGAAGCTGCACTTTGCATTTGCTTATTGGAAAAAGCATCAAATAAAATAGGAACAAAAGAAGAACCCAGGTTAGAGAGATTTTCACCTGATCCACTCACTGACATACCTTGAGATTGCAAAGTTTTATTTTTTGTAGCTTCCCTTGCAGTGGCTCTGTCTAAAGCAGTCATAGGCTCAAGGTCCACGAATCTGGAACATCTACAAACATATGCCAATTTAGAATTTGCAACAAGCTCGTAATCTGGAGGAGGTAAACAATTAAGAGGTTGAACTGATAATATCTCATCATCTTTCTCTGAATCATTCTTTTTATTGTAGAACTGCTGTAATGAGTCCATCAGCCATTTATCATTATGTTCAGCTTCATTGATCATAAGAGATTTACCTTTATCATCCTCTTTTGTGGCAGTATCTTCTTCCAAAACAACAGAAGATAAAAGACTTTTCTCCACAACAACTTCCCTATCACTGTCATTCTCTTTACTCTGAAACACATCAATCCTCTCTTCAGAAATATGAAACTCCTCAATTTTGTCTTTCTCCTTCTGAACATTAAACATACCAGAATCTAAAGTTGATTGATCCTTCAACTTATTATTAGGCTCTGCATATCTTTCTTCCTCCTTCTCAGCTGTTTGTTTTAACTCAGCCAACACATCAGAAACATCTATTTTTTCAGAATCTCCTAGATCCTTTACAAATATATTTCCTTCTAACTTATTCTTTTGATAGAAGGTCCTTGCCTCATTCCACAATCTAGCTGATGGTGTACCCCATGGATTGTTTCTCAAATCCTGTCTAACATTCCAAGAGTTTGAATCAGAATCTCTCAAAGAAGAAGACCCAGTTCCACTATCTTTTCTTCCTTTAAACCACTTATCATTATAAGAATTTTGATTGTTATCTTCTGAATTATCCACTTTTTGTTTCTTTTTATCAGCTTCATCAAAATCACCCATAACTGACATGATAGATACTTCCACATTATATTGATTTTTCCCCACAACAACCTTCAAAATCTTAGGAATATCAATATACTCCAAACATTTAACCAACATAACTGCATCTATCAAAGCAGTACCTGCATTTGTTAAAGAATCAAGCTCCAGTAAGTCAGCAAAAGGTTGAACCATTAAACCAAAAGCTTCTCTACTCCATAAATGTGGCGGAACTCCTTTCAACTTAATCCACACCTGAGCATTTCTTTTTTCAATAATATTTCCTTCCTAAGCATTTCATCTCCTAAATTTGATTTTACATGATCTAAGAGTAATAATACCCATCTTAATCAATTCCTCCATTTGTTTCCAAGGTTGAATTTTGACCAGCACTTCCCCATTAGTAAACAAACGAAGATCCCAATACTTGTTCATGGGAAAAAAATTTCTCAGATCAAGCTCTAGCCTTTCTAAAGAAACATTACCCCCTTCAATGAACGAAATTATAGCAAAATTTCTAAATTTCTGGAAATCAGAATTAATCTCTCCTTCAAAGCGAAGAATAGCAGTGGAAAAACGAGGGCGCTCACCAGATATCTTCAATTCTGCTTCCAGATCACCATAATCTCGAGGACCCAGATCTTGAAACTGTGAAGAATTATCATGAACTTTTTTTTCATCCACATTAGAGAGCGGTCTTTTACCCTTATCTTTATGAAAAGCTACATCCTGGTTTCTTGATGTTGAAAACCCCGTAGCCCCCCTTTCCCGACGCCATTGCCAAGGGTTAGCTCTACCAGATCTACCATTTAGGGTTTTTTTCCCATCTGCCTCCCACACCACTATCAATAGTAGATCTTCCTCCAGTCTGGCCTCTTCCTCCATTAACACCAAATCTTCCTCCTGGACCTCGCCCTCTTGCACCAAATCTGGTACAATTTCTGGCCTCGTGACCAAAATCATTACACTTGAAACAGAGGATTGGATCCCTACAGTTTTTCGCCATATGATTTGCACCACCACAGCAAAAACACAGATGATCTCTTCTAATGATCTCCACAGAGACAAAGCGAGAATGATGTTTATTTTTTACCAAAGGAGAAGACGGTGTTTTAGGGTTTTTTTCACAACTTTAACCCATTCACCTTCCTCAATCACCGACGTTGATTCAACGATATTTTTATTTGAGCCAATCTCAACCGGTGATTTCAACTCAACCGTGGTTAACTCAACTGCAGCAACAGTACCCCTAGTTTCCAAAATAATGGGATGTTCAAAGTTAAAACCAGCAGAATTGACTTTTTCGCCCCAAATACAATGGACCACAAAATTTTTTGAATCGAAAACTGAATGTCCATTAACCATCGAAATTTTATTTGTCTCCATCAGAAAACCCAAAAGTTATCAAAGATTGATCCAAGAAATCAATCCAAGATATTCTAATCAAAGAAACTCCAACAGATTTTCTAATCAATTCAAGAATTAATCCAAAAAAACGAACCCAATCTTGCTAAAAAAACAAGAACACAAAATTTTGTAAAAAGAAAATAAAACCCTAGATCCCCAGATAGGATGGAGGACGATGAATCCCCAAGAGAAACTCTGAAGAAATCAAAAATTCTAAAGAGATCAGAGACAAAGAAAAAATCAAAACCCTCAAATTACATCCTTTTTACAGTCAACTTTGAATACTTCAAGAAGTGTAGAGAGGATACGACAGCATTGATCTTGTAATGACTATTTATCAATGAGTTGCCCCAATATATTGAAAATGTAACTGCAATAGATTTGATAACAAACATTGGTTGAACAAGAATCTAGTTAACATAACACAAAGAGATAAAAAGAAACATACTTGAAAGCCCAATGATTAAATGTTCTTAAATAATTCAGCATAAGAAGTGAAGCTCAACAACTAATGACAAAAGTCATACATGTTCATATCTCACAGATTGTACTATCAGTACCCAGCATGAGCTTCAATGGCAGACAACCGATAACATTTGTGCCCAGGATGAATAGCAATTGTAATTTGATAGTGTATCTCAACCAGAAACTACATATTCAAGCTCACAATAAATCCAAGTTAGGAATTCAAGCACACATTAAAATCAGCAAGAATACTGAACAAACGATGCAGAAATTTTACCTTAAAAATCCTGTCAGGGCGAAAAATATTGATTTTATCAACAACTCCAACAGTTTTCGGAGATTTGTCCCTGTAAAGTTTAGTCTCTGAAGAAATTTAAAGGGCACAAGTTCAATAAACAGGTTAGTTCACGTGACTACAACATCAAATCAAATACATAAACAAATTTAATGGTCTCTGAAGAAATTTTATCAGCTCACTAAAAGATGATGCTTCCGAAGATGGTTTTCCCACCTCTCACCGGCCATCATTATCCAATGATCCAACTATATACATAAGAGTAAAGTACTTTAATCTGCGATTAGATGATTCCACAAGAGTAACTATGAACTTTGTTGTTGTATCACCTGTGTACCAAATTTGGGTAGTATCCTGCCATATATATTTGCACTGCATCAATTAAAAGGAATTATCTAAAGCACTATAAGTTGAGGAATAGTCAAATTTCATGTGAATATAGTAGCAGATGCTCTTTGACATCAAAGGATGTTCGTTTGCACTTATGTAGTATTCCAAATGGTACCAAATTTGAGAACTTCATTTTCTGAATAAAAAATATATCTTGAATATTATGTAGTATTCCAAATGGTACCAAATTTGAGAACTTCATTTTCTGAATAAAAAATATATCTTGAATACTTCAAATTACTCGGGTACGTGAGGGGTACATGGTCTATGCAAGGTGAACAAGCACATATTGTGCAGGAATTTTGCATCTCAAACTATCTAGTCTCATGAGATTTCAAGAATGAACACAAGATCAAGAAAGGTACCACCATCAAGAGAATGTAAGGTAACATAAAGAAATGCTTACAGAAGGCAGAGGGGGTCCCCCTCAAGTCGAAAAATCCTTCCTCCATTAATTGTTTGATAAAAATGGAGGAACCACCGTTTCTTTGATAAGAAGGGGGCCAATCATTCACCTTATGATCGCGTAGAGAAGGTCAACTTGACCATGGAGAGGAAGGCACGGAGATGGAATCCAGGCGCATATTTCACCATCCCACACCATAGGTAATCCTGGAGTACACGTCCTTAAACAAGAAACTTTTTTTTAAAATCTACAGATTCCGTACTTGAGATAGAATACACCAAAAAATTGTGTTATTTCAAGAATTTCTTGTCATAATCCATGAAGAAAGGAGCTTGGGCCTAAGAATTCAGTTCATCTTGGAGCATATATCTGGTGATTCAATTACATATGAATGTTGTAAGTATGACCTCCATTTCATCTCAAAAGTAGCACAGAGTTATGAAATGGATCAAAACCATATTTCTCTCAACACTTCCTACCAAGGACAAAAAAAAAGCAATAGAAAACAATACAAAATAGGGATGAATTAAGAAAATACAATAGGAAAGCACTGTAAGAACAAATCATTCTACATTACACTAAAAGAAAGCAGCATTTTTTAAGGCTCATCATATGTCTCTTCAACTCCACATCAATCCAGTGGCTGCAGATATTGGAACGATAACAGGTGGCAAATTTGAAGAATCAATCATCACTGGAGCCTTATTCTATACTAGGTAACAAGCACTGAGTTTGATCTATGCACATCAATCGAACGAGAGGAAACCTAGATGCTAAATAATGCAAGCTTCATCAAACAAAAAAAATGTTGTGTTATATCCAATTTCCCTTGGGGATATGAAACTCCATCTTATCTCAAAAATAACACAAATTATCAAGCAGAACAAAACCATATTTCTGTCAACAATCTCTACCACGAGAAAAACTACAACAAGCATAGGTAATAACAAAAAATAAGGATAAATTAAGCAAATACAATGGGAAAAATCATAACAACAAAACATTATACAATGAATTAAAAAACAAACTTTTTAAGGGCTCCTCAGATGTCTCTTCAGCTCCACATTTTACCAGTGGTTTCAGTAATTGGAAAGATAAAAGGAGGCAACTTTAAAGAATCAATCATCACTGAAGCCTTGTACATCAATCAAAATAGAGGAAACCTAGATACTATAATATGCAAGCTTCATCCAACAAAAATAAATATGATGTTCTGTTATATCCAATCTCCCTTAGGAAATGACCTTCATTTTATTTCAAACAAATCAAAACCAAACTTCTGTCAACACCTTCTACCAGAGGAAAAAAAACTACAAGCATAGAAAGCAAGAAAGCAGTAGAAAATAAGAATGAACTAAGCAAATTCAATGAAGAAAAATATCAGGGAAGCGACAGAGCTTCCAGCGGTGAGTAGGTTTTGGAAGGAAAGGGGGGATTAGGGTTAGGGTTTTCACCAAAGAGGAGGGAGCGACAGAGCTTCTAGCGGTGGCAACATCAACGTCCAATCGAGAGGTCGGCGACGACGATGACGATGATGACGACGACGAGAGGAGCTCAAATCAGAGGAGGAGCTCGAATCAGTGAAGAGAGCTCCGACGATGATGAACTAGGGCTTTTAGGGGAGAGAAAAAGCGGCGAGAGACCTCCGACTACGACGACGACGACGAGAGGAGGAGGACGGCGCTGGTTTTGGCGCGAGAGAGAGGGAGGGAAGCAGAGAGGGAGAGAGATCGAATTTTGTTAATTTGGGGGGAGACAAAATTTGGGGGTGTGGGGCGGGCTCCCTCTGTTGTTTTGGAAAAAACCGAACTGTCCCAACGGGTGAAACCGTTGGTGCTAATAAAACTAGCACCAACGGTTCATACCACCCGTTGGGGATGGACTTATTTGTACTCGTGCTGATGTCATAAGAATCAACCTTATTTTTATAGAAAGCTTGTGAACCCCGTATGAATAATTTGTGTGAACTAGTAGGTGAAAGTTATTGAGGCTGCAACTTACATTGATTACATGACTAGCTAGGATTTTATTGATACAGATGAATACTTGTACATATGCACACGTGTGTACACTTGTGACTTCTAAGCATAGATCAGGATGATTGTTATACATAGAGAGTAGCTCTCTAGCATACATAGAAGTACTATACTTTGGCTTCGTCAACGTTCTGACTATGTTATATGCCTGGCTGCAGCTGGAAAAAATGTAATTTTCCAAAAGATTTCATTGCCTTTTCTTTGTTCAATTATACATATGCATGCATATGGACACACTTGCATACGAAGCATTGAGGACATGTGAATCTCTTGTTACTTTTTGTTTTGTGGGTGTGGGAGATTTATGATCCTTTAGTAGTTTCATTCATTTTAGAGTAATATTGTTGCATCTGGAGGTCTTGGTGGGGAGGTCTTTATATGGGACATTGAAGCAGCACTTCTTCCTGTTACCAAGTCTGTCGATGCTGCTGAAGATTGTCTGTCTTCATTGCAGGTGGGTTGGAGCCGTCAGCGAGTTTCTTTCTGTTTTACACTCTAGCCCATACATTCATGGACAACAACAGGTATCATATCTGCCTTATAACATTGTTCTCATATGACTTAAAAGTTAAAACACACAAAATTCTCCTAACTTATAAAGCAAGCATTTCCAATGTTTATTTTCTGCAAGTTATTCATATATTATTCTGCTGCAAAAGCTGTTTTTAATCTAGTATTTCGCTTTACTCATGAAAGTTGTATTAGTGTTGTTACAAAAAGTTGTATTAGTGTTGTTACAAACTAAGTTATAAAATTTTGTGAACCTATTAAAACATTAGTAAGTATTTTATGTTAGTATATAGTTTTTGGGTAAACATTCTCTTGTATTTATTCTTGCATGCTGGAATGATACCATTGGAAGTAGTTCAGTTTATGATTTGTACTCCTAAGAATTATTTTTTGACGCAGATAGGGAGTACTGGGGTTCATTCTCCTCTTGAGTCTTCAATAGATAAGTACCCCTACATAAACATCATGGAAGATGGACTAGTTACTGCATTGATTAATGATGAACCAAACAATAACGAAGCAACAGCTTTACTCGATGCTCGAACCATACTCCATTGTTGTTCCCCATTGTCTCCAAAACTGGTCATTGTTGTCAATCAAAAAAAAATTCCTCCCTCATTCCTTTATTGAAGAAAGACGCCATCAGGGAACATCCAAGCAACCAAGAAGAGGAATAAAGGCATGCTATTCTTGTAAAGCTTTCGCTGATTATTTTCGATTAAGTCAGTCGTGACTTGTACTTTTAATTAACATACTTAAGACATTTGTATATTTGAGATATCCTCTTTATGTTTGGGACTTGAGTAATTTATAAGTTGTATTCTGATTCTAGTCAATCTTTTGTTTTGATTTTGTGTGTGAGAATATATATGTTAACAGGTATATTTTGTATTTCAGATATTCTCTTTATGGATGTGAACAAATATAATATATACGTATATATTTTGTGGGATATGAATTCTATGTAAACATGGTAGGCAAGAGGTATTAATAAAATTGAAAAAAAAGGAAAAATAATAGCACAAACGGTTACAACCGTTGGTGCAAGTATCAGCACCAACGGTTACAACCGTTGGTGCTGATACTTGCACCAACGGTTGTAACCGTTGGTGCTAGTCTTTTTCATTTTTTTTTCAGTTTCATTAATACCTCTTGCTTGCCATGTTTACATAAAATTTCCAATTGAAATTTTTGGTAATTTCTTTTTTAATATGTGCATTCAATTTCATGTATCTTTGCGCTCTCTTTTTTCCTTTTTAAATTTATATGATTTACTTTCAAAAAAGAAAAATAGCAAATCATTCTTATGCTATTCTATTTTTTGTTCATGGGATTTGCTCCATTTTTTTAATTTTTTTTCTTTTGCCAAAGTAGAAATAGCTGATAGAATAGTTAAGTTTGATTCATTACTTTTATTCAAAATTTGTTTTACGCAGATTGAAGATGGAAAATTTCTCAGGTATGACCGGAACAATTGGAGGGTTCTGTCTCCGACTGACCCAGTCTTTGCTCTCTAGCCTTCGATCAACTGATGTAACTTGCTTTCTAGCCTTCGATCAACTGATGTAACTTGCTTGTTGTTCAATGTGAAACTCTGTTTGCTTGTTATTTCTCGTAGTAATTTGTAACTTTCGACATGGGTTACATGTTTTTAGTCAATGAAAAAAATCTATATTCATTTACCAAAATGAGAAGTTTTACATTTTCAAATCCAAGAATCAACCTGGATCACATCTCTCTAAGAGAGCTTAGTTACATCTCTCTAATTCTTTCTCTTATTGTAGGCTGTCTAAAAATCACAACAAATAGCTTATCCCTATCAAACACCAATGACGGAAGTTACAATCTGACGACTTCCAGAATGCTACAATTTGAGGACTTTCACGTAGAAGATTACAATCTGACGACCTTCACAATAACTAATGAAAGCTCTAATTCAACAGCCTTCACAATCAACATCGGGAGTTACAATCCGACGACTCTCATATTTTCAAGGAGCTAAGACGTGTTAGACCCTAGAGGGGGGGTGATTAGGGTCTTATGCTAATCTAATCCGATTTAAATGCCAATTAAAACTTATTAACAAGTTATCCTAGCAAGTATGAAATACAACAAGATATATGAGCTAGGATAAGCAATGCAAACAAAGAGATATATCCTATATGATGAAATATATATGTGCAAAGATATATAAATTACACAAGGATAAACAATCTAAACAAGATAGTGGATGATATAGAAATGAGCAATGCACAATGGAGATATAAGATATGAACATAGATATGAAAATGAACGCCAAAGCACACTCAAACACAATCAAGTGATCACGGAGTTCGGACCTTCCATCCTACGTCTCCGCTCCCCACTCCCGGGGAGAAATCCACTATCAACCGGGTTTTCTACGTTCACCCGAATAACGTTTACACCTCACAGTATCGGTTTTCAACGCTCACCGATCAACGTCACTCCTCACACTCGGTTTCTAGCTCACCGAAAACCTCACTACACACTCGGTTTCTAGCTCACCGAAAACCTTACAACATTCATAATGTAACAAATATAAATTTGTTCTCTACAATAGATGAGAACACAATGAAAACACAACTCAAAGTTACAATCTCTCACCACCCAACTATACTATGTATGTAAATACTAAAAGCTCAATGTGGGTGTGTGTAACAATGAGTAAAATGAGATCTAACTCAAATAGCAAACTAGCAATAATAAGGATATAAAAATCAATAATAAAATTGCTAGAGAAAAGACTTAGAAAACTTCTCTATAAACACAAAGAGAGGATGAGAAGATTTTGAGGATGAAATCCTCAACTGGTGATGCAAAACTCAAACAAACAGTAAAACCCTAAACCCTTGTTTAAAAACTTTGTTTAAAACTCTTCTTTAAAACATACTTAATTGCTTGAAAAAAGATCAGCAATTGGGTATTTATACCCACTCAAGATCTCAACAAAAAATCAAAACAGAAAGACCAAAAGGCCCCCAGAAAACCAGCTCAGAAATAGCCGTTAGTAGCCAACGACTATATTGTCGGTCAACCGGAAATTCTGTCGGTCGACCGATGGAAAATTTCGGTCGACCGACGGAAAGTTCGGTCGACCGTTATCCAGGTCGAAAACGAGAAAACGAGCAGACACTAATCCGGTCGACCGGTGCGGTCGACCGATGGAGCTTTCGGTCGACCGGACCACGACTCTCTGGAAAACTACTGAGAAATGATCATATGACCGGTCGACCGTACCGGTCGACCGAAAACTGACATCTCAAAAAAACAAAGCTGATTTTAAACCACTGTTTAAAAATATCAAATAAATTCAGAAAAATGTAAAACTTTGGGGAATGATTGTAGACATGATAATAAACATGCTACAATGACTGGTTTCGAAAAAGGACTTCCCAAATGAAAAATATCATCATTTTGCAAGATAGTCCAAAACACGAAAATGTAAACATGTGAATTTTGACATTTTGGCTAAACCAACTTTTGAAACTTTACAAAATGATTTTATAGACTTGAAGAAAGATGTAAACTATTGTTATGAAGTCTATAACCTAGAAATACAATATTTTCATAAAATTGCATGTTCTATGCAATATATTCAACACACTAAATATGATTTCATTTAACTAACTAAACTTGATATTGATGAAATCATATATATGCATATGAGTATGAAACAAAAATATGTTTTCTAATTATATTCAATTGTTTCATAGTAAAACTTGAAAACTATCAAACCAAAACATATATGTATATATATAACTATATATACAAAAACCAAAACGTGTATGTGTGTATATGATTGAGCTTAAAGTACTAACACACATAATATAAATTCCTAAACTAAATTACCCAAGCCGATCTTGATCTTCAATAAGCTTGACTTGGTACACTTTGCGGATGAAGCTTGAACTTGATCTTTAACTTGAATTGTATGTTGCTTCACTCCACAATTCCGCCAACCTCCATTTGATATCGTCGTTATAGCGCAATCCATCCATCCTCCAACTACGTTGTTTGTCTACAAAACATAGGAATGCACAAACACTAGACAAACAACATTAGTAATAAATTGTTTGTTAAACATCATCAAAATAAGAAGGCCAACAAGACGAAGATTACAAGATGATGATCTTTGCAACGCTCTAGCAAAGGAGACTACAAATCGACGGTCTCTTCAAACCAAAATGCAGATATCTCTCAAACCGTAAGGAATTTGGCAAAACTGATGGAGCAAAGTCGGCTCCGTCTCATCGAGATAGCCGATTTTCATATATAATTCGTCCAATTCCG